AGTTGCCGGCGACGGCATAGGCTGCAGCCCCTGCCACAAGCTACCGGGTGTGGCCAGCAGCCAGCATGAGCGGCCGGCAGCCAGCGTGAGCTGCCAAGAGCTGCCGTGAGCTGCCATCCAGAGGCCGGCAACCGATCTGCCTCATCCGGGAAGAGCGCAATGATAATACCAACATGGGCCAGTGAAACTGCGTCCTCCACAACTAGACTGAAGAACAAAAGGACAGCAACTTGTCTGTTCCCCTTCCTCTGATTCCCCAATAAAATCTTAAAAAAAAAAAAAAGATTTTGACATTTAGCACTAGATTTTAAAAGTTGTTTTGTATCGTCTGGTTTCTTATAGATGAAAAATGCCAAATAAAAAAGAAAACAATAAAAATACTTTTTCAGAATATAAACATAATTATTCAGGACATTATATTACATAAAAGTTAGCAGAAAATAATATTCAGTGCTTAGCCCTCTGAATCAGTGCTCAGTGGGCCTCTTCAGTTTTCCTTTCTGTTTTCATAGAGCTATGTATGATCCATGCTGATTGCGTAATTGCGCCTACTGCTATCTTCTCAGCTTTACATCTTTTTACAAGTCATTAAAAGCTTTTGTAAACATTTGTAGTGGCTCTCTAATATCCCATCTAATGGGTGTGGCTTAGCTTGCCTGTGTAAGTGGGTATCTATGTTTTCTTCTGGTCTTTACCAATATAATGCTGCAGTGAACATATGTGGATAAAAAACTTTTTCCATACTTTGGCTTATTTTATTATAAATTTCTAAAAGTGACATTAATGAGTCAAAGGTATGACTGTTTATATGGCTCTTTGTCAAACTGACTTCCTAAAGGGCTATACCATTATACTCTTTCACCAGCATAGAGGTCAAGTGCTTGGGAAAAGGAGTGTTGGAAATGTAAAAAATTACTTCAGTTTTGAGATTTATCTTGTTTCGTTTGGCTTTACATTTCTGTCCCCTCCCCCCCACACCAACCTAGGTTCACATGTTGCATTTAGTGGTCATTTGTCTTTAGTCTCTTAAAATCTAAAGCAGTAGTTATCAACTAGGCAGGGGTGGTATGGATTTTGTCACCTAGAAGACATTTAGAAATGTCTGGAGACTGTTTTGATTGTCACAGCTGAGGTGGTTGCTACTGGCACCTAGTGAGCGGAGGCCAAGGATGCTGCTCAACATCCTGCAACCACAGGGCAGCTCCCACAACAAAGAATTATCGGGCCCAAAATGTCAGTGGTGCCAAGGCCGAGATGTAGAGCAGTCCTTCTTCTTTTTCTCTTTAGTGACACTGACTTTTTTTAAAAATTGAAGTGAAAGTCATAACATAGAATTAACCATTTTATAGTGTGCCATTCACTGACACTTAGTACATTCACAGTGTGTGGCACAACTGCTATTCCTTCCTAGTCAAACTTTTTATTACCCCAGAACACCCCTACTGGCTAAGTAATTACCCCCATGCCCCTTTCCCCATCCTTCGGCAACCACTAATCTGCCTTCTGTCCCTATAAATTTACCTATTTCATATAAGTGGAATCATACGGTACATGACTTTCTGTGTCCAGTTTCTTTTGCTTAGCGTAATGTCTTTAAAGTTCATCCAAGTTGTTGCATGTACCACTACTTGGTTCCTTTTGACGGCTGAATAATATTCTATTGTATTTGTTTATAAGTTAATCCTTTAATGGACACTTGAGTTGTTTTTACCTTCTGGCTATAATGCTGCAATGTATACTCATGTACACGTTTCTTGCAGACATATGATTTTATTTCTCCAGGGCCTATACCTAGGATTAGAGTTGCTGGATCATATGGTAATTTTATGTTTAACTTTTTGAGGAATCACCAAACTGTTTTTCAGAGCAGCTATGCCATTTTACATTCCTACCAGCAATGTACAAAGGTTCCAGTTTCTCTACATCCTTACCAACACTTATTTTCTGATTATTTGATTATAGTCGTTGTCGACTGAAAAATAATATTGACTAGGTGTTTTGTCACCAAAAAGGATTCATTCAGGAACAAGAAAGGGTTGCAGCCCAGTGCATGCAGACATGACAAGCCATGTGCACACTCTGGCCTGCGAGTCAAGATGGAGGGGTATTTATATAAGGGAAAACAGAAGTTAAGGGAAGGGGAAGTTAGAACCATAGAGCGTCATTGTAAACATGGAGTTCCTCCTGGAGGGCTCTCATGGTTGCAGAGAGTGCGAAAACTCCCATAAACCCTAGCTCCTCCTATAGACCCTCTCAACTGATTGTTTGTTTAAAGCCCCAGTTAGTCTTTATCATCATCCTAGTGGGTGTGAAGTGGTACTTCCTAGTAGTTTTGATTTGCATTTCCCTAATGGCTAATGATGTTGCTATTCAAATCCTTTGCCCTTTTTTTTTTTTTTTTTAAGATTTTATTGGGGAATTGGGGAAGGGGAACAGCCAAGTTGTCCTTCAGTCATAGTTGTGGAGGGTGCAGCTAGCTTAGCTCCCAAGTCCAGTCACCATCTGGCTGCCTGTTGGCAGCTCGTGGCCGCTCAGCTCAAGGTGCCGTGTTCAATCTTAGTTGCAGGTGAGCATAGCCCACCATCCCATATGAGAGTCGAGCGGGCAACCTTGTTGTCAGGAGCATGTGCTCTCACCAGCTGAGCCATCCTGCCACCTATTGGCAGCTCAGTGGTAGCTCAGCTCACTGGCCCCTGTGGGAATCGAACTGGTGACCCCGTTGCTCAGAGCTCGCACTCTTAACCAACTGAGCCACTCGGCTGACCCTCCTTTGCCCATTTTTTAATTGGGTTGTTTGTCTTTTTATTGTTGAGTTGTAAGAGTTCTTTATATATTCTGGACACTAGACTCTTATCAGGCATATAATACGCAAATATTTTTTTCCACTCTGCAGGTTGTCTTTTCACTTTCTTGATAGTGGCTTTTGATGCACAAGAGGTTTTCATTTTGAAGTTCAGTTTACTTAGGTTTATATTTGTCACTTGTTTTTTGGTGTCATATCTAAGAATCCATTGCCAAATTCAAGGTCATGAAGATTTACGCCCAAGTTTTTCTACTTAGAGTTTTATAGTTTCAGCTCTTATTTTTAGGTCTTTGATCCATTTTGAATTAAATTTTGTATATGGTGTAAAGTAGGATTCTAGCTTCATGCTTTTGCGTGTAAATATCCAGTTTTCCCAGCACCATTTGTTGAAAAGACTGTTCTTTCCCCACTGAATGGCCTTGACACCCTTGTCAAAAATCAATTCTAAGTGCCCATCAATGGATGAATGGATAAAGAAAATGTGTATATATGGGCCGGCCAAGTTGTGCATTGGTTAAGAGCTGGCTTGGGACACCAGCTCTGTGCAGCAAGGCCCTGGTTCGGATCCCACATGAGGGCCAGTAACACTGCCCTCTACAGCTAAGATGGTAAACAACAGCTCAACCTGGAGCTGGGCTGCCATGAGTGGCTGGCGACGGCGTAGGCTGCTGTGAAGCTGCAGTGGGCTGCCATAAGCTACTGTGTGTGGCCAGCAGCCAGTGTGAGCGGCCAGCAGCCGGTGTGAGCTGCCAAGAGCCGCCGTGAGCGGCCGTCCAGAGGCTGGCGACCGATCTGCCTCACCCGGAAAGAGCACAATGATAATACCAACATGGGCCAGTGAAGCGACGTCCTCCACAACTAGACTGAAGAACAAAAGGACAGCAACTTGTCTGTTCCCCTTCCCCAGACTCCCCAGCGCTGTTCCCCTCCCCCAATTCCCCAATAAAATCTTAAAAAAAAAAAAAAGAAAATGTGTATGTATACAATGGAATAGTATTCAACCATAAGAAAGAAGGAAATCCTGCCATTTGCGACAACATGGATGGACCTTGAGTGTATTATGCTAAGTGAAATAAGAGAAAGACAAATACTGTATGATCTCACTTATATGTGGAATCTTTTAAAAAAGCCAAACTCATGGAAACAGGGAGTAGAATGGTAGTTGCCAGGGCCTGGGGAAGGAGAAAACAGGGAGATGTTGGTCAGAGGCTCCAAACTTCCAGTTAGAAGATGAGTAAGCTCTGGGATGTAGCGTACATCATGGTGATTGTAATTAACAATACTGTAGTATATACCTGAATGTTGCTAAGAGAGTAGATATTAAATGTTCTTACTGTGCATGTGTGTGTGTGTGCGCGCGCGCGCGCATAGACACACACACACACACACACACACACACACACACAATCACGTGAGGTGATGGATGTGTTAACTAACCTTAGTGTGGTGATCATTTTGCAGTATATAAGTGTATCAAAACACCAGGTTATACACCTGAGACTCACACAGTGTTATAAGTTAGTTATATCTCATAATGCTGGGGGAATCAGTTAACAGTAGGTGTTTGATTTATTTCTGGGCTCTCAATTCTGTTGCATGAATCTATCTCTTTATGTCAGTACCCCAGTGTTTTGATTAATAAAGCTTAATGTCAACTGTAATTTAAAAAATGAAATAAAATAAAATTTTATAGTAAGTTTAAAAATAGCAAAGTGTGAGTCTTCCACCTTTATTCTTCCTTTTTTTTTTGAGATTATTTTGGCTATTTTGGGTTCCTCGCATTTCCATATGAATTTTACTCTCAGTTCATGTCTGCAACAGATGATGTTAGGATTCTGATAGGGATTGCATTAAATCTCTCGGTCGCTTTGGGGAGGGAGCATTGCCATCTTAATATTAAGTCTTCTGATCCGTAAACATGGGATATCTTTCCTTTGTGTTTTCTTTAATTTCTTTTAGCAGCGTTTTGTAGTTTTCAGTGTACAAGTCTTTCTTTTGGTTACATTTATTTCTAGGTATTTTATTCTTTTTGATGCTTTTGTAAATGGAGTTGTTCTCTTAATTTCCTTTTCAGATTGTTCATTGCTAGTGTGTAGAAACACAACTGATTTTTGTGTGTCCATCTTGTACCCTCCAACTTGGGTAAATTCATGTATTTTCTTTGGTAGTTTTTTTGTAGATTCTTTGGTATTTTCTATACATACGACCATGTCATTTGCTAATACAGGTAAGTTTTACTTCTTCCTATCCATCTGGATGTGTTTTTTCTTGTGTAATTGCCTTGGCTAGCATATCCAGTACAGTGTTGAATGGTGAAAGTGGGCATCCTTGTCTTGTTCCTGGGCCTAGGGGGAAGTTTTCAGTCTTTCGTTAGCTATATGATATTACTTCTGAGTTTTTTGTAGTGGCCCTTTATCAGGTTGAGGAAGTTCTCGTCTATTTATACTCTCTTGGGTCTTTTTATCATGAGACATTGACTTTTTAAAGTCTTTGACTTACTTTTTAATATAGAAACTTGTGTGTGTGTTTTGTTCTGACCAGTGCTGATTCCTAAAGAAAAGCCCCCCATCACAGTTGTTGGCGATGTGGGAGGAAGGATCGCCATCATTGTGGTATGTGAACCTCTGTTACCGTTAATTGTCATTCTGTCGACATGTTTGTTAATTGTGTGGGAAGAGTGGGATGGCAAGGTAAGTCTCATTTCAGTTGGTGCTTTGTGCGAAATGTTTACTTTGGTCCAAAAATTGAAAATGGTTGTCATTAACTTATTAAGAAATTGCTAACTACTTAAGTTCTAAATATTGTGCAACTGTTTGTTATAATGTGAGAAATTGTTTTGTGATGAAAATAGGGTACAAAATTGATTATAACTTTAAAACACACATCCTGTCACACTTCACAAAACCAGTGTACAAAAGGAATAAATTTAATGCCTATGTAGTTTAAATTAGAATAAAATGAACACATGGGTCCTCACCAATCATTGTGGAGGACCCTCACAGTGCCTCTCTTCTCCCCAGCCCACAGAGGTTGTCACTAGCTCGAAAGTTGGCATTCATGCCCTTATTTACAGTCTGTCATGAGTGCATGTGTCCCCAAACACTGTATTGTTTTGTTTTGCATGTTTTTTATATTTATATAATGAAATCTTTGTGTACTCTGTGACTTTTTCTTCTCACTGTTTTGAGATTTCTCTGTGGAGCAACATGTAATTGTACATTATTCTTTTTCACTGTGTGGTGCTCCATGGTATAACTACGTATTACACAAGTTATTTATCTGTTCTCTGGGCATTGAACACATAATTTTTCCTATTTCCAAATAATACTGCTTTGAACACTCTTGCACCTATTTTCTGGTGCAGACATGCAAGATTTTCTAGGTTCCTGAAAACAGAGTTGTTGAGTCTGAAAGTACATACATTTCCAAGTTGACTAGGTTGTACCAGATTGTTCCCAAAGTGGTTGTTTACGAAGCCGCCATAGTGGGCCCCACGTTCTCGCCAGTGCTTGTAATTTTGTTAGAAAATCTCTGATGTCACTCTACGGGTGATAGCTGTCCATTAATTTATTCCTTAATTAATAAAATCTGTAGAAACAAGATGCTATGAATTTAGTAGCACTTTTTTCCCTTTCTACTGCAACCACATTTAAAACAAAACTATTTTATTTTGAAGCAATTATAGATTTATAAGAAGTAGCCAAAAAAAATGTACAGGGAGGTCTTGCATATTCTTTACTCAGCTTCCTCCTTCTTGTTTAACTGTATATAGTAACACAATCTGGAAATTCATATCACCCCATCCATAGAAATGCTTCAGAGAGCACGAGTGTTGTGTGTGTGTAGATGTCTGCAGTCTTATCACATGTGTAACTTTGTGTAACCACCACTGCAATCAGGATAACAGAACTATTCCATCACAAAACTCCCTTCATGGCCACACCCACCTCCTGCCCACCTGATCCCTAACTCTGTGGCAGCAGATATCCTGTCCTGTCTCTATAATCGTGGTCTTGGGAAAGTCTTATAAATAGACTATACAGTATGTAACCTTTGGAGATTGATTTTTTTCACTTAGCATGATTCCCTGGAGATCTATCCAAGTTGTTTTGTATATTAATAGTTCATCCTTTTATTGCTGTAGTTTTCCATGTATGTAGGTACTGTAGTTTGTTTAACCACTTGCCTGTTGAAGGAAATTTGGGTTGTCTCCAGTTTTCTGCTGTTAGAAATAAAACTGCTATGCACATTTGTGTTTAGGTTTTTGTGTGAACAGAGTTTTAATTTTTCTGGGATAAATGACCAAAAGTGTAGTTGTTGGGTTGCATGGTAATTGCGAATAGAGTTTTATAAGAACCTGTCAAACTATTTTTCAGAGTGGCTGTACCATTTTACCAGTAGTGCTTTTAAAATAATATGTATATATTTTTCTTTGATCATAGTAATATTAGTATATATTAGAAAAGAGTAATATATATGTGTATACTATATACATACAGAGGGTGCCAAAAAATGCACATACATTTTAAGAAAGGAAAAAACTGTATTAAAATTGTAATACTCAATATATACCAATAACAGAAGATGAATACAAGTCACGTTTGACTTCTGCAATTACAAGAGGTGCTCAAAATGGTTACCATCAGTGTCCAGACACTTCTGATTACGGTGAACTACTACTTGAGCAACGCTGACTAAAGTGTCCACTTGTATACATTTTTTTGGCACCCCCGGTATATATGTGCATATATGCATATAATGAAAACAGGAATATTTATTCAACCCTAGATAGTGCCTGATACCCCAATGGGCTTAAAATAGCCTTGGTAGCCTGATTGTATTAGGAAAGACTCAGCTTTCCACCTCCTGTGTTTCCCTCCTATGTGTCTCCTTTACTACTCAATACAGAGCACTTCACTTCTGCTCACCAAATGTGTGGAGGTTTTTCCCCACACCAAGCAATTCTCTGTGACACCAACTGGGTGTCCTAACATTTAACTCCCAGGTTAATAGCTTAGTCCCACGAGATTGCTCCCACCACACTTCAGATACCATTTGCAAGTAGCAGGTCCCGAGGTTACCCACAACTTCTGTACGATTTGGCTACATAGCAGAGATTCCCATGACCCCCCTCCTTGGGTTCAATTAATTTGCTAGAGAGGCTCAGAGAACTCAGGGAAAAACTTTATGTACTGTTACCGGATTATTATAAAGGCTGTGATAAAGGACACAGATGGACAGCCAGGTGAAGAGATTCACAGGTGAGGTCTGGGAGGGTCCTGAGCTCAGGAGCTTCTGTCCCCATGGCGTTGGGGTGCGTGACCTTCCTGGTTCGTGGTTGTGTTCATCTACCTGGAAGCTCTCTGAACTCCATGCTATTGAGATTTTACGGAGGCTTCCTCACATAGGCACTGGAGAAGTGGGGGGTGGGGCTGACAATTCCAGCTTCTAATCCTAGCTTGGTCTTCCTGGTGACCAGCCCCCATCCAGGAGTCACCCTGAGTCCCCTCAGTAGAACAAGAGATGCTCCTAGTGCTCTTATCACTTAGGAATTTACCAGGGTTTCAGGAGCCCTGTGCCAGGAACCGAGGACAGAGACCAATACATGTATTTTCTGTTATCTCACACTGGGAACCTGTGGTCCATAGATTGGAAACCACTGGACTGGGTATATTGTTAAAAATAATAATTATTGTTTTTCCCATTATAAAAATATCCAAAAAGCATATTTCCCATATTCCCAGTGGAGAAAATTTGGAAAATAAGGAAAAGCAGTAAGAAAAGAGGAAAGAAGCACCCAGAATCAAAGCATCTTCTAACAGTTTTACAATGTATTGAAAAAAAAAATAAAACAGTGTACATTCCTGGAGTGCCTGCATGGTGAGGGCACAGTTCCGGACGTGGGGACTTAGAGGAGGATGCAGGAGCACTGAGTGTGGTGGAGAGGTTAGATGGCCTGTAAATGACAGAACTGTGCAAGGCTTGGAGGGGATGCAAGCGGAGCAGTGATGGAGCATGTGACCATGCTGTCTGGATGCATTAAAATGGAACAGCAAATCTGTCATAAAATTAGACCTTTCTCTTTACGGGTTGTCTAAACCCACCTTTGCAAAAGTGTTCATGTACCTTTTGTTCAATCTGTAATTTGACAGGATGACATAATCGATGATGTTGACAGCTTTCTGGCTGCAGCAGAGACCTTGAAGGAAAGAGGTGCATATAAAATCTTCGTGATGGCAACGCATGGCTTGTTATCTTCAGATGCTCCCCGACTGATTGAAGAATCTGCCATTGACGAGGTAAAAGAGCCAGGCCACGTGTGGGCGAGCTGCCCGGCCGCCCTGAGCTCCATCACAGCCCTGCAGGGGCACGTCAGAGCCCCTGTTAGAGAGATGAGAAATTGTGCTTCAGAAAAGTTAAGTGACTTGCGATCAGAAAGCTATTAGGCTGAGCGTTGGGTTCAGCCCATCGCTCTCCCTGGTGCAGCCCCCTGTGGAATGAAACTGGGAGAGGAAGGCCAACAGGGCAGTTTTCCTAAGCTGCCCCCGGCTCCCAGTGCGGCAGAAGCAAGGCTAGCCATGTTTATTCACACTGCTTCGTGCACCTAGCTCATTCCACAACCAGCCAGGCCGCTGGGGGCTTGATTGTATGAATCACATTTTTATTATCTCTCAAAGAGAAGTGCTGGGTATTGAACTTACATTAGTCAAACTTTTCCGAATCCCACATTCTTACTCCTCACATGGGATCTCCTTGAGCCTGGCCTTATTTATCATCTTCGATGGGTTCAAGGTGCCTTAACACGGACCAAAAGCCAGACTTGTGTGCTCTGATCAATAATCCAGCCTCCTCACTCAGCTGACAACACAGACTAAGAACTAGAATGACATTATAGGCATTCAAGGAGGCAAAATCAATGATACAGAATTCACATGTTAAGTGAGGTGAGATGTGTCAGCTCTCACCGGCCTGTCTGTGTGGCACCTGCTGGGGTTCTCCCGGCTGCTGTGTGTGAGCACATTAGAAAGAGAAGGCCAGAGGAAGTTGGAGAGGGGCCTCCTGGAGCCAGCCCCTAAAGCAGAGGGATCTGAGGAGAGGAGGCATCAAGACCAGCAGAGGCAGGTGTGAGTCTAGGAGCGAAAGAGCTCTTTTGTGGGGAGCCTGCGCCCTGGTGGTGCCCTTGTGTCTCCGAGAGTGCGCTGTCACTGATGTACCTGCCGGGGCGTTGGGGCCGCCACCAATGGCCGAGCCAGGTTCCTGTTCACTCTGATTATGAAATGAGGGTTTTCCGTACACACTGACACACACAACACAGTTGCACAGTAGGTTATAAAGTTTTGAACAATGTAACAGTGATGGCAGAACTGACAAGTTAGGAGGTGGGAGATGGGATAAGTGGAGAGAGGCTGATTTCCCCTTCTGTTAGAGTAATAACCCGTAGATAACGCTTAGGGTTGATAATTAAGATTTGAAGTGTTTTTCTTTCTTTTCTTAAAATTAAAAGTTAGATGAAATGCCTAGAGTAGGCATCTATACAGACAGTAGATCAGTGGTTGCCAGGGTTTGGGGATGGGTGAGACGGCGTGACAGCTAAGGGGGGTAGGGCCTCTTTCTGGGGAGACAGCAGACACAGCTCTGAATGTTCTAAAAACCACTGAGTTGTACACTTAAATGAGTGAATTGGGCTGTTCACAGATTAGGCTGTCAAGGTTTTCAGTGTTTGAGAGACAATTGATGGAAAAAGTTTGCAGTACTTGACGTATTTGCATACCTTCAAAACATGGGTGAATTATATGGTATGTGAATTATATTTCAATAAAGCTATTTTTTTTTAAGTGGTTAGAATAATTTTTGGAAATTTTATTTCCCAATGAGGGTGGTTCTTTAGTGAGGAAAATGGCCCACAAGGTGACCACATGGTGCCTCCAGGGGGCACTCTGCACATCGATTCTGTGTGAAGGGTGTAGAAAATTCTGTGTGATACCAGTGGAGAGGAATTTTATTCCTTTGAGAACTGTTCTCCCTTTTACAGGTCATGAGGTTTATAGAACGCTTTATGTTTCCATTTCTGCCTTAGTTATCAGGAAGCTCAAATACCAAATGACAAGTGACAGTCATTACAGCAGACTAGGTATTTGTGTGCCTAGTACTGGTTCTGAATAATTCCTGGGAGTCTGCCTCTGCTTCAGCGATCTCACTGTGCATGTGCTTCTTTTGGTTTTTTTTATAGTTTTTTTTTTGGGGGGGGGTGAATTGGGAGAGGGGAACAGTGTTGGGGAATTGGGGAAGGGGAACAGCCAAGTTGTCCTTCAGTCTTAGTTGTGGAGGGCACAGCTAGCTCAGTTCCAAGTCCAGTCACCATCCGGCTGCCTGTCAGCAGCTCAGGGCTGCTCAGCTCAAGGTGCCATGTTCAATCTTAGTTGCAGGTGGGCGCTGCCCACCATCCCATGCTGGAGTCGAACCTGCAACCTTGTTGTTAGGAGCACGTGTTCTCACCAGCTGGGCCATCCTGCCACCTATTGGCAGTTCAGCGGCAGCTCAGCTCGGGCGCAGCTCACTGGCCTATGTGGGAACCGAACCGGCAACCCTGTTGTTCAGAGCTCGTGCTCTTAACCATCTGAGCCACTTGGCTGGCCCGCATGTGCTTCTTTTAATCAGCTGTCTTGAGGCTTATGTTGGAAGTAGGGAGTATATGTTATAAACAATAATATTATACCCATGCTCTGTTTTTTAAGAAGGCTGAGTATTTTTATTTCTTTCCATTTGTAGCTGTTGAAAAGTGCTTGTTTTCTCCTTTTTTTTGATTTTATGAAATCTTAACTTTTAAAATAACAGCTTTATTGAGATATAATTCACATACCGTGCAATTCACTCATTTAAAGTATATAATGCAGTGGTTTTTAGTATATTCACAGACTTGTGCATCCATCACCACAATTTTAGAACATTTTCATCCCCCCAGAAAGAAACCTCATACCCATTAGCATTCACTCCCCATTTCTTCTCAATCCACTCAGCCAGCCCTAGGCAACCACTGACCTACTTCCTGTCTCTATAAGATGTACCTAACCTGGACATTTCATATAAACAGAATCATACAACATTGGTCCTTTATGTCTGTCTTCTCTCACTCAGCATAATGTTTTCAAGATTCATCCATGTGGTAGCGTGTGTCAGAACTTCATTTCTTTTTATTGCTGAATATTTCATTGAATGGATAGAACACATTTTTCTCTCTTCAGAAGTTGATGGAAATTTGTGTTGTTACTACTTTCTGACTATTGTGAATGATGATGCTGTTAGGAACATTCGTGTACAAGCTTTTGTGTGGACGTATGTTTTTATCTCTCTTGGGTGTATAACCTAGGAGTGGAATTGCTGAGTCATATGGGATCTTTATGTTTAACTCTTAAGGAGCTGCCAGACTGTTTGCCAAAGAAGCTGAACCATTTTACATTCCCACCAGTGGTTGTGAGGGTTCCCGTTTCTCCATATCCTTGTCAACACTTGTTATTTTCTGTCTTTTTGCCTATAGCTGCCCTAGTGTGTGTAGGGTTATCAAATCTTAATCTCTAAGAAGCACAGGTAGCATTCACATTGACTGAACACATTGTCGAAGGTGCAGTAGACCCACCGTCCTCCTCAGAGATTGGAGAATATATCAGATTTTCAGATCAAACCAGGAATCTGCTTGGTTTTGTGATGCTCTTGGTTTTTTTCTCTTGATTCAAAGGTGGTGGTTACCAATACAATTCCACATGAAATCCAGAAGCTCCAGTGCCCCAAAATTAAAACCGTGGATATCAGCATGATCCTTTCAGAAGCCATTCGTCGGATTCACAATGGAGAGTCCATGTCTTACCTTTTCAGAAACATAGGTTTAGATGACTGAACAGCTTCCCTTTTGTGAAACTCCCAGGGCCAAACTGGAAATGCTAGCGTGAGTACCGTGAGGCATCTGCCTGATCTGCTGGGTTTCCCAGGGGCCATCGTGTTTGTTCCTTTCTTTTTGCTAATTCCTATGAAGACAGACCAACTTTTGAATGTCGGTTTGGATGTTTGTGAGCTTTTTTGGCAATTTTTATAAAAGAAAAACTATATTCTCCTCTTAAACTAAGACCTTGTTGTTTTTAGTTTATTTAAAATATAACTTGGAATAAGATTTTTAAGCTCACAAACAGTCTTTTTCCAAAATTGTTGGAGCCTAAGTGCTTAAAAAATTTAATAAAATACATGATACTTGCAATTGAAAAGCCAAAAAAATTATACTGTTGAATCCAGTAGATGACATTTTTAGAAATGATTTTATAGATAAGCATATGGAATATGTCACCATTATTTATTTTCTGCAACAAAAGAAGGAATAAAAGCTTACTGTGTTTGTGTGTTTTTTAAAACTTTGTGTTTTGGCAATTGTTTTATAACTAAAATAAATTGAAAGCTGAATATACAGGCCGTGGATGAGATGTTCATCAGCTTGATTGAGTTTTCTCTTCTGCAATCTCTCGGGGGATGCAGCAGCCTCTTAGGGATGGAATGTCCCCTGTTCACTTTGTCCAGGACCCTGCACGCTCCTGATACGTAGTCATTTGACTGTGACAGGAGAGGAACTCTAACCCTAGGCTGGGGGATGGGCTTCTTATTTGACAGCATAGCCGCTCTGCAAACAAAATATGCCACTGTACGTCCTTGGGGATGAGATGCTGGAGAGGGTCACAAACGAGCAAGCGATGTGACCCCTGTCAGTGTCAGCATCTAAGTACTGGCTGTCCTGGAGTCGAGAACTCGAAACTTGTACCTTAGAGCTTAGCCTACTGTGGGACACTGGGGTCCATGAGGTAAGCCACTGTGTTCTCCCACTGGGGTTGCGTGTGAGCAGTCCCATCCAGTCATGGAGGAAAGCTTCAGACATCTCACCAAGAAAAAGTTACTTTTTCTTCCAAAAACCTTAAACCTTTGCTTTCTGCCTGTCTCTGTTGGAATATGTAATAAAATCGTTGATTCAGCACAAAGTTAAGATTAGTCACTTACTGTTAGCCACACCGGGGCTTCCTGGCACTCCCTAGAGAGCAGGGTGCCCCCTGGGAGCTTGCCTCACCTGCGCAGGCCTGGGGCCCTTGTGTGCAGAAGCCTTAGGGCTCTCCGCCTCTGGCAGCTGCCCAGGTAACAGGTGTTCTGCACGTCCCTCCATGCCCATCACACCCGGCAGTGCCCAGTCCCCTCCAGGACCCACCACACTACTTCTGAGAAAGGTGTCTTCCCCTCCTCCCTGTTAATTGTAGAGCTGTCTCCTTGGAAACTGTGCCCTTGCCTTTTGAGAACCTGTCCCTAGGATTGGGAGGGTCAGATCTTTACAGATGGGCTTAGAAAATACTACACTGACAACTGCTTTGGCCGGTGCTGCTCTGGTCAATAGCAGGTTGTCATCTGTAACCAATTGCCACATTGGGAAGAGGACCTTCGGGGACAGGCATTGCCTCCCGTGAGAGAGGAGCCAACTTGTGCCCATGGGGACCCTCTGAAATGAATTATCTAAAATGGGCTGAAGCAGCTTCACAGCAAACCCCACATTTTCAGACTGCTGTGTTGTCTTTCCCCCCTTCTTTTGCCCCTTTTGTTACCATGTTACCATTGAGCTCATTCAGTAAGAAATGTCCTCTTGGTGGCTGTGTCGCATGAGGTTTGACTGCATGGTTTTCCTTGATGTGTCATGCTTCATGAACTAAAGTCAGATTTATAGAAGAGAAGTGAATGAAAAAAAAATGTAATGGGATGTTTTCCTCTGTGTGATGAACTTGCAAAGCTAGCTAGAGCCTTTCCAATCCACAAAGACTTAGGGGTGTGCTCAGTGCTGGCTTTGGAAGGATGTGCAGATGAACACTTGAGAGAATCCACCACCCCCGGCACTTGGCAGTCTCAGCAGAGAGTTAAGGGGCACAGAGATGGAGCAGCTATTCCATAGGAGGGCCAGGAAAGATGGTAGGTGGAGAACAGGAAGGAGGAATAGCGTGAGGCATGACAGTGCATGGTGTGTGTGCTGTCACATCATAGACTGTTGTGGCTGGAGCAGGAGAACAGTGCTGAGGAGGGAGGGCAGGTGGAGGCTGCAGGATGGAGGCTTTTCAGGGACACGTGTAGGAGGCTGGGCTCTGCTGTGGGGAGCGCAGAAAAGAAAGCCTCCCACTCAAGCCCCTCAGCCACCTCAGTCCTCTCCCAGAGAAAACCAGGGTTACCAGATTTTTGTGTATCGCAGGCTTTTCCTCAGCCTGAGAAGTCCTATTTGCCTTCCAAACTACTGTCTCCATGTATCAGTCAGAAATACAGGAAGCTGAACCTAGAAATTCTGTAACAGAAAAAAAAAACTAATAGTTTCCGATTTTGATTATGATGTCATCAATCTGGACAGACAAATGTGGGTTAGAACTCTGCTGTCAGAGCATCAGGAACACGATGATATCAGGGAGGGGCATGAGTGAGTGAGTGAATGAATGAATGAATGAATGCGTAAACACCAGTTCAGCCACAACTGTGCTAGAGAGCAGTTGGTTCTCGTAATTCGTTAACATTCCAAGGCCTTACCACTGACTAACCATCTGGGATTTCACACCAAAGCTCCCACTTCCCAGCCCAGTGCTCTTTGCAACCATTTCAAGCATGTCTGGACTAACAGCCTTTACGTGGGCGTATGGCAGAGCTGAGAGTGTGTCTAGGCCTCCCTTGAAGGCCTGGGATTCACTCATTTGTTAGCCTTTACCTGAATCTCCCCATTGTTGAGTGGCTAGCCTGCCAGCCCAGTCTCTGGGGGGTCATATTTGTGCCTAAAATTTCATGTTGGTGGGCTACTGTGAAAACTAGTAATGGAGGCTTCCACTTCCATTAAGCACCACTATGTGCTAGACTTTGTCCTGCACTTTACCTCATGGACCCAGCCCACCCTGACAGCATCCCTGTTTGCTGTACAAGGAAGCTGGCCCAGGGAGGTGAAGTGCTTTTCCCATACAGGCAGACCTTGGGGATATCGCTGGTTTGGTTCCAGACCACCGCGATAAAGTGAATATTGCAGTAAAGCTAGTAGTAATCTTTTTGCTGATGGAGGATTTGTTTTCAATCTATAAAACAAACAAACAATGACAACAACAAAAAACCCAGTATCTGCAAAGCGTGATGAAAGGAAGCATAATAAAACAAGGTATGCCTATACATATTAGGTTAATTACATAAAGTACATTCCTGCTAGGGGCCAGTCAAAGTAGAAATCTGCGTTGTTAACATGGCACATTAACACTTTTTTTTTCTTTTAAAGGAGACAGGTTTTTTGTTTATTTGGTTTTTTAAAAATTATTTTAAATTGGGAGATTGGGGGAGGGGAACAATGTTGGGAATTGGGGAGGAGGACCAGCCAAATTGTTCTTCAATCTTAGTTGTGGAGGACGCCAGTTGCCATCTGGCTGCCCATTGGCAGCTCATAGCCTCTAAGCTCAAGGTGCTGTGGTACAATCTTAGTTGCGGGTAGACGTAGCCACCATCCTGTGTGGGAGTCGAACCAGCAGCCTTATTGTTAAGAGCTCACGCTCTATCCACCGAGCCATCCGGGCGGCAGCTCAGCTCAAGGAGCCAAGTTCAGTCTTAGTTGCAGGTGGGCATAGCCACCATCCCATGTGGGAGGTGAACCTGGCAGCCTTGTTGTTAAGAGTGCATGTTCTATCCACTGAGCCATCCAGGCGGCAGCTCAGCTCAAGGTGCTGAGTTCAGTCTTAGTTGTGGGCTGGCGTAGCCTGCCATCAAACAGGCAGTCTTCTTGTTAAGAGTACGTGCTCTCACCAGCTGAGCCATCCTGCCACCTGTTGGCAGCTCAGTGTCACTGGCCCATGTGGGAATCAAACCCACAGCCCTGTTGCTCAGAGCTCGCACTCTTAAGCTAACTCTTAACCAACTGAGCCACTCAGCCGGCCCTGGCACATTAACTCTTGCTTAGAACTGTGCAAGCTTAATATAAGTGCTCTCTGCTTTGTCGGTGAGCATGGCTTTCTTTACTTAAAAGTAACTCTGGAAACTTAAGTGAGGTTGGGAGGCCAGAAGGGGGAGCTCTCACACAGTTCCACTTGAGGTCAATTACAGGAAAAATTGTCAATTACAGATCCCAAGAGAGTAATAATCCACAGGAAAAAATCACCAATGACAGGCCCCAACAGGAAAGATGTACATTGCGTCTTCCACAAGAAATTGGCAGGTCAGCAACTCGGCCCATGAGCAACTGTCATTACCGCAAACTGCTTTTCTCCAATGAATTTCATTCAAAACAACCCCTCACAATTTTCTTCTTTTTTTTCTATAAAATAATGCTTCTCTCCTTTCTTTGTTGAACTTGCCAATGGCTTTTGCTATAGCTTGCTTGTCCCAAATTATAATTCTTTGCTGTTCCCAAAAAAAACCCATTTTTGCTGGTAAAATAACTTTTATTTCTAAGGTTCACATGACCAAGTTTTCCTTCAATAAGAATAAGCTGGCAGATGTCAGAATGGTGGCATGGGGAACTCCAAAAGCCTGTCCCTCCATAAAGCAGAGAATAAATTGGCAAAACTCATAATCGACTTTATTGGAACTCTAGAAATGAATCAAAAGTTTATAGCAACCGGGGCTGGCCGAGTGACTCAGTTGGTTAAGAGTTGGCTTAAGAGCATGAGCTCTGAGCAACAGGGCTGCCGGTTCAATTCCTACATGGGCCAGTGATGCGCCCAAGCTGAGCTGCCACTGAGCTGCCAACAGGTGGCAGGATGACTCAGCTGATGTAACAAGATTGCCTGTTTGATGGTGGGCTATGCCCACCCGCAACTAAGACTGAACTCGGCACCTTGAGCTGAGCTGCCGCCCAGATGGCTCAGTGGATAGAACGTGCACTCTTAACAACAAGGCTGCTGGTTTGACTCTCACATGGGATGGTGGCCACGCCCACCCGCAACTAAGATTGTAACACAGCACCTTGAACTTAGAGGCCATGAGCTGCTGATGGGAAGACAGGTGGCAATGGGCACCCTCCACAATGAAGACTGAAGAACAACAACTTGGCTGGTCCCTTCTCCAATTCCCTAACCTGTTCCCCTCCCTCAATCCCCCAATAAAATCTTAAAAAAAAAAAGTTTACAGCAACCAAGTAAATAGTTACACACACACACACCCCACACACAAAAAAAACAAACAAAACCTGAATCCCAACAAGAGAGCTTTGTGGCATTTTAACTTACCCTGGTCCCATTACCTGCTCCCCAGCCCAATGCCAGCCTTGAAGACAAGCCTGCAATCCTGGTATAGGTGCCTAGCACCAATGGGAGCAGAATTATGGTTGTTTGTTTAGACCTGTCTGGTGGCTTCCTGAAGGACTGGCTCAAAGAACTTGCCTTTATTTTACCTAATAAACTCTTCCAGAGCAGAGAGAGACAATTAATGAAAAAGTTGAAAGGCAAATGTATTAGCCGTTGCCTCTTGGAGCAAAGAACAAAACCAAAAAGCTTGGGAATAAAGGGTGGGGGATGAGATGCTTTTGAGGAAAAGTGCTTTGAAAAGCTCCCACACATTCCTGGGAATCTAGAAGGACCCACGATTGCAGAGGGTTGAGTGTATGCTCAGAAATCACCTGAAAAAGCCGCAAGATCTCTTTTTACTATCAGGCTCTGCACAAGAAAGAAGTGAGGGCTAAGACAGAGCTATGAGCCGCCTGGCTGAGTGTTGAAGGCATGCCCCAAGAGACACACAGAGCTTATCTGCATACTGGGAGATTTTTTTTTTCTTTTTTGGGTTTCAGGCTTTTAAGAAAGTCTGTGATGACTCACTAGCTGACCACTCAGATAACAACAGAGACTTCAGTTGCCACAAACAACAAAGAATACAGACTTTACAAAATTCATTCAGAAAAGCCACTAGTGGGGAAAGGTGTATGGGGAGAAACTTCTAGATTTTTGCCTTAGAGTGATGAAAATGTTTTGGAACTAGATAGAGGTGGTGATTATACAGCATT